TCGGTTTTTGCTATTTTCTAATATTTATTGAACTATTTTAGGGCTTTGATCTCAAGGAGAACCGCTACGTAGCTTGCAAGATTCACCAACTCAATCCAGCCTGGCCAAAGGACAAAAAGGACAACTATATAAAGTAAGTCTTCAACCCTTTTCCCAATTATATGTAACTTTAAGACGTTTTAAGTACTTGCAATTATGGCGCTAGACAGCTTTTAGGTTCGTCCATTTCCTACTCACTATTCATGTTCCTGCTTCTTGGTGCGTACCCTTAATATTCCTGGTATTAGCTCAAAGCCAGATTTATTTTTTCTCATTTTGCCATTGTTCTGTAGGAAGCGTGTTACCCCGGGTCACTTTTCACCTCCAGACCCTGGTTACAAGATAGAACATAAAGCTTTCTTTCTAATGGGATTTTGATCTTTTACTATCCTAGGGGGTTGCATAGCGTCTGATTCTAAATACTCACGCAGTACCACTGACTAAGACGGTAAAAAGTCTTTCTTTTTGACTTTTGATTTCTTCCCCAACTAGGTTAGGTTTGAGTGATAGCCTAAGTTTGTGCAACATTATTTCAGTCATTTATTGTGGACTTTGAACTTTTCGTGGTTTCTTGGCACTGTAATTAGCTATTTAAGTCTGTGATGCAGCGCCGGTGTGCCTGCTCACCAGCAGCCTTCACAAAGACCCTTTTACTTGATTCTCTGCTAAGATACCCTCCAAAAATTAGTGCAAGATGAAGTGACAGTCTGTTAAGTGCTTGATTTGTAACGAATCATTTTCAGAATACACGAAAGATTGGGAGTCAGAATGTTTAACTGTTACATTGTTCCATTTGGGTTTGCCTAGATGTAAGAAGTTTTTTGATTTCTTTGGCGGGAACGCCAGACGGGACCCTAGGCTGATCAGTGAATAAAATTAACGTGGACTTAGCAATTTTAGGTATAAGCGTTCGTGTTCCGCGTACAAGAGGAATTTTTCCTCCAGAATCTGACTGCTTTCTGACCACAGAAAAGCAGGGCGTTCCTTACTGTTTTACCCGCCCCCAGTCGATTACTTCTACAATGCTTTCTCCAGTTCATACTTGTCGACATTTTCAAAGGAAGCTGATTCTTAAACTTAGCACCGACATAA